ATAAAATCATACAAGAAATTCCTCCTGACGAGCGGCGAGGCGCCGTGGCTCAATGCCCACGTTCCCTCAGAAACCCCAGAAGCTTACCAGGGACTTTTGCAATGGAAAAGGACTTGGGATGCAGAAGGTGTTTGGTTTAGCTCAGCGGGGAGGGAAAGCAAGGTTCTGTCTGTGGTTCACCACAAACCTCCACTCCCGAAATAACCATCCCTGACAGCGCCGCGCGCAGTAAAATTCCACAGGACCGGAGCCATGGCAGAGCTTCCCCAGGCTCTGCTCACACAGTTCCATCCCTGGGGTTTCACCACGAGTTCCCTGTACATCCCCACACACCTGGAGCTGGCACAGCCCGGGTAAGAAGCCAATTTTCCCCTTTTTCCCCAGACCCAGCCCATGTGCCATCCTGACAGTCCATCCTCCTCTGAGCTCCTCACCTCCCGCAGCTCAGCAGCACAGCCCATGGAGGTGCAGGCACCTCAGAGCCTTCACCCCTTCCTGGCTAACGGGTTTGGGTTGGAATTAGGTGGGAGAAGATTTGCTGGAGAGGGCAGAGTTTGGGGAAGTGATTTATTAAAAATATATGGATATTGATCTAGTACCGATATCCAACTGTGACGGACAAAAACTCTCTAACAGTTTAAAGTTAGAAAGTGTGTGTTTATTGTGTTTATTGTGTGTGGGCCAGCTCCCAAATACACACCGCGCCTTTCAGGTGATTACAGAGCCCTTTTATCAGTATTGAATACCCAAAATACAAATACATATTCATCATTTTGGTACATCCCATTCCCCACTTCGTATGCTAATCACTCCAAAAGCCATTCAGCATGCGTGGTTTGTTCCTTGAAATGGGTCAGTGTCCCTTTCATGGGGAGGGGTCCCAAAATGAGGAAGTAAATGAAGTCTTCCTCGTTCTGACCTTTCTACCTTTTCAATGCAAATATGACAAATGAACTCTTGGTAGAAATCTCATTCCTTGTCTTCAATTGGTTTCAGAACAGAGGAGGCCCACAATTGTCTTATGTTCCTAAAAGCTATTTGTCAGTTTCTATATTCTTCATTATAAACCCAGCTAACTAAACATTGTGCTGACAAGCAATCAATTATTAGTTAACTACTAATTCCTAACTTCATCAAGGCCTACTCATTTATTATTATTATTTTAATTAACTCTAGTAAGGCTCATTTCTAACTAAAATCTCAGCTCCTCTAAAATCTCTAAATTCCTCAGAGTTTATGTTTCAGAAGCAGCTGCTGCCCCTCACATCCAGGCAGTGACTGGATCTTTGAGCCCAGCCACAAACCCAACACTGCTCAAGACAAACCCCTTGTTTCTCCTTTGCTTTTGTGAATTAAAGTTATTCTAGGAGAGCTGCAAGCAGGGGCTAGAATCTTAAAAAGCAAAACTAACCACATTTAAGAAAATTTTTGCATGCCTGTAGCTCTGCTACTCCTCACCACTTCAAAGGTACCAGGTTTCTCATCCCACAAGAAACTTTCACAACTTTTTTTTGCTAACTCTGCCCTTCGCTCCACAAACACTAATTTTCCTCTAATGGATTAACATAATTGAATTAAACTTGGGCCAATTACTCCAGCAGTTTCCCTGCTAAGCTTAAAATTTACTCCTTCTGAAGGAGGGCTTATGTGCCTAAAAGGCAGTCTGGTTTTTTCCACCTCTATCATTTGGTCTAATAAAAGATATTACCTCTCCCCACAACCTGTACCTCTCTCTTGAGCACACTTGAAAGGAGAGAAATGTTTACCCAGCAAAGAAATGTAACTGGCAAGTTATTTCCCCTGACTGACTCTGGTACTTCTGAAGGTTATTTGAGGGATCATAAAGAACTCGTTCTCCCTCCCAGCCCAGCGACTTCCAGTGCTCAAAGCCTCAGCCCAGAGCCCATCAACTCCTATCCTGTTGCTGCAGCAACAGCTGCAACATCCCAGATGTGATGCAGGTCCAATCCCACATTCCCCAGAGCACCCTAAATTTGATCCCTGGGCACAACGGGTGCAGCACCAGGCAAGGGAGAAGGAGACCATGGGCACCTTTTAACTCAGACACCTCTCAAAAAGAACAACACCTGAGCTAGAAAGCGTGATGTGTCTTATTATAATATAAAGTGCTGCAATTCAACATGAATTAATTTTTCCTTAATAGCTCTCAGCACACAAAGAGAAAGCTAAGAGCAATAAGGAAGAGTGAAACTGTTGACTGCTGCATGGACACAGACAACATTTCATAACCAAAACTGAGAATGCTTAAATCATTTTTAAAACTAAAAGAATAAAACTTAAGCAGCAAACAAGCTGGTGCTTTCTGCACCAAGTTCTGCAGTTTTCTTAATATTACTTTTACTGTGATGTCATGTTTAAACACAGCAATTTTTAATACTTTTTGGGCAGGGTTTTTCCACTGTGTTGCACTGAAGATACAGACACCTTTAAAAGTGTCATAAGCACCTGTTTGATCAAATTATAGAGTCTTGGACTCTTGAGGAGAAGTTGCAGATGGAAATGAACTGTATAATAAAAATTATTATATGAATTTTGAATTTTTTGAATATTATTACTGAGTGTTTTTATATGAATAAAAACACTCAGTGCCAAGGACTTAGGCTGGTCCCAAGCTGGCACATGCAGAGATACAGCAACAGCCCTGGGATGCCACGGCTGCTCAGGGCTGCTCCAAGCACTGCATGACACAGAGACGCCAGAAGTCCCCACTTCCCGTCTTGTGGTCTCCCTGCAAGGTCATGCAACTTCCCTAGAACCTGTCTAGGAGTGAACAGTCCTGTGCTGAACTCTGAGACACTGAGCAGACTATAAATAGGATCCTGGAAAAAGAAAATTAAAAAAAAAGAAGAAAAAAGATAGACCTGGAAGAAACTGTTAGAGGTCACCTCGTCCAACACATCTCCTCTGAAGGAAAGGAGGAAGGAAATTTCCAGGAGGAAATCAATGATGTGACTGCAAATTCCCTGCACTTCCCTTGAAAATGTTCCCTCGCCCCAGTGCATGGAGTTAACAAACACATATACAAGGAAGAGGGAGAGAAGTGAAACTAAGAAACCCTCAAAATTCAGCCCAAATTCCTGTGCAACAGCAAAGCTACTGCAGCAATTCTTTAACTGACAAGGATCACTCAGTGGCACTGATGGGGACACACAGCACTTCACCCATCTGATCCCCACAGACCAGACCCAGGATCTGAATATGCTCCCATCTGGTCACATCCTGGCACATCTAACCCCACACAGGTGTGGATGCTGCTGGTGATGAGCCACAGCAATGACACCTTGGTGAGGGGACATGCAGTGACTTCCACCCGCACACAAATGCAAGCAGAACTCCAAACCTGCATAAAAACATTCCAAAAATTCCCAGAAACAGCCACAGAGCCTTTCTTCATTAGAGAATTCCCACAATTAATGCTGCACTGGTGCACCCATATTACATCTGCAGCTGGCAGGCTGAAGGCACCTTGAGCAGGTTCTATCAACCACTCTCTGTACAATAAATCACCAAGTTGATAATCTCCTGAGAACTGGGCTGGAGCCAGCAACTCCTCCCCTGCTGATGCTCAGGGCAATTCTGAGCTTTCCTTGTTAAAATAACCCACATCTCCTTGACAAAGCAGTGGCTTTTGCCTTCAAAGTGAAAATGTTTCTAAAAATTTTTGGGGTTAGTCACCAGAGATTTTAAACTGAAATTTGTCATTCTTTATATTGAAGAAGCAGATCTGGGCTTTCCCCTTTTTTTTTTTTTTTAACCTAGCTTTAAATTAGTTCTCTTCCCACAAAATCTCTCTTCTAGATAACAGAGAAAAGAGCAAAAACAACACATAAAGCCAGGGTGGGGTAAATACCACTCTTCTGCTTTCTCCATAGGGGAGAATAAATACTTAAGGTGTGGCAGTGGCTCCACACTTTTCATTTTCTAAATTCAGACCACTACCAAACTCTGAATCACATTTGTACAAGGCTTTTTAGGGGGTAGTTAGTGACAGGACAATGGGGGATGGCTTCAAACTGACAGAGAGAAGATTTACACTAGGTATTAGGAAGAAATTCTTAAATTCTTCCCTGTGAGGGTGCTGAGGCCTGGCACAGGGTGCCCAGAGCAGCTGTGGCTGCCTCTGGATCCCTGGAAGTGCCCAAGGCCAGGTTGGACAGGGTTTGGAGCAACCTGGGACAGTGGAAGGTTTCCCTGCCCATGGCAGAGGTTTGGAATGAGGTCCCTTCCAATCTTTTAGGTCCCTTCCAGCCCAAACTATTCTGTGATTGTGTGATTCTACACATCTGCAAGAGCAAACCCTAAATTTAACACAAAACTCCATTTTCTTCTTCTTTAAAGCATCATTTCAGCCATCCCTGGGCAGTTTTGGGTGAGCCTGTGTAAATGCTGCAAATGTGCAAATGCTCAGCTTCAACCAGGACTCCTCCAAGATCTCTTCTCCTTTCTTGGGTCACCAGGTCAGGAAGCCATTTAAGCACTTCCAAGTGGTCCCAATTCCTGACATAATGAATTTTCTTTAGGAGAAAGTTCTTATCTATAGAGATAAGATCAACATCATTATGTACCTCCAATAAATAATTCTCTCAGCATCACAGAGCATCTGATAAACAACTATTCCAGCAGAAGAGGGAGAAGGTGGAAGTAACCCAGGTCACCACTTAGAAAAGTAATATATTCCAACTGTTTGAAACAGAAAATTATTTGGGAAAAGATCTACAGGGAATGAAGATGCTCTGCAGAGAAGTACATGGCACACTTGGGAAAAGACTCCACCTAGAATATGACCACCAGATCATGCTCAAAATAAGAAGAAAATTTGTCCAATCTTGGTACCACTAAAATGCTCAACATGAATTAGAAAGCAATGTAATAGTCAGAGCATCTTAGCAATTTCCCCCAGTCTGTTGCCACGCTTGGTAGTCCCAACCAAAATTATCAGGCTGCAGAAAATTCATTTTCCAGGGGAATCCAGTTCTTACCCATCTTTCCATCTACATCAGGCCTCCATTCCACCGGTCCCAAACTCTTGTGCCTTATCCTCCTCTCTCAAGCATCCACCCTGCAACAAACACACACAGAGGTTACAGATTAATTTTGACATGACAACAGAGTCATGGACCACTTTCCACAAAGCCTCTGCCCACCATCACCTGGGAAAGAGGAGAGCCTTATTTAGGCATGGAGACCAGGAGTCTGCCTTCCTCTGCACACACCAAAGGTAACACCCCACAAACCTGGGACCTTAACGGTTTTAAAACCTTGGAGTGAACAACTTGCACTTCCTTAAGGGCAGAACATTTTAATTACATGATATTTTTAATGTGTTTTTACGTGATTAATGTAACCCTAAAGCAATACCATCATTAACACTTCAGATTCCACAGAATCCCTGTGGGATAACACTCACTTGGGGAACAGACTGACAGCAGGGCATGAAAAAGCAGTCCTGAATCAAAGCAGACACCTAAATTTAGGCCTTCCAAAATGCAACCAAGGTTCCCCAAGGCTAGACCAGCTTTCCTCTGACTGAATGGGGAAAAAGCTGAGTGCAGGCAGCTCTCAGCAGCAGTGGCATCAGCCTGTACATCCCTCATGGGAGGGATGTCCCTAGGAGCCCTCCCAGAGTTTCTGCCTTCAATCTGCCCCCAACACCAGCACAGAAGTGGGCTCAGTGACCTACCATCCTGCACTCAGCCAAACTCCTGAACCCTGTAAGGTTTTTTGGGGTTTTTGGCCACCAAGAAACTAAAGCAGTCCTGAGCTCGCTGCAGCCTGTCCTACTCACTAATGAAAAGCCTCATTTTAGACTGAACAAAGGCAGAATCCACCAAAAGATGGGCACCTTTTGAAGGTGATAGAAGACAACATCAAATTCCACTTTAGCTGCCTGATAAGCCCTCAGATTTCTTGGTCATAAACCTGTGTGACAGCACAAGCAAAAGGAGAAACACCTCAAGAACCTGCTCAGACTTGCACAGGGAGTAAGACATTCCTGTCCTGAAGTCAGTGAGAGCCACGTGCTCCAGGACACTGAGATGGATCCTGGAGTGTTAAATATGAGCACTGGTCAGAAGGGGTAGGAAAAGACACTTAAAAAACCTCCTGCCTTGGTCAAATCAGTTCAAACACAGCAACAAATCTCAAGAAGACCAGGAATGGTCCCAAGCATGGATTAAAATGATTTTCTGCAGCTCTGGTGCCTCGGTGCTGGCGAGCACAGGGATATTTATCCAACCTATTTTGAGAGAGACGAGCAGGAAGGGAAGGTGATAAGAGAGCAGCAGAGGCAGAGACATCCAAGTGCCCCTGACAGAATTGTTCCTTCTGCAGCTCCCTCCCAGAACAGCACCATCAGCCTGGGAGCCCAGGGCCACCAGGAACTCTGCTTTGTCCATTTCCAACACCAAGGACGAGGCAAGGAAGTCACCAAACAGCTTGTCTGGTTAAAAATCCTCCCTTGAGAAAGAACTGGTCAGTCTATGCAGCACTGAATCAAGAGGGAGCAGAAAATCAGCAAAAAAGCGGAGTAAAAATTCCATCTGATTATAACAAGAGCAGGAAACAGCCCAAACCTTCACTTTTGCTTTCAAAACTGCTGTGACACTTCCAGGAATTAAGCTGTGTGCCTCATTTGCACTGAGGGCCACAGGCAGATAGCCTGGATCCACTGTAAATTCCTGGGACAGCCCAGGTTAGCTCTCCTATCAGAGTAACAGATTTTTCTAATGTCTTTCTGGAGACCTTCCAGACCTTTCCAAACCATATCTAGCCACAAAAACAAGCACCTACAGGAACTGTGCAAAAGAGCCCTGGAAAAAACAAGTGACCTTTCCATCAGCAGAGCCCTCCCCTGTGCTGCTCTCCATCACCTCTGCCACAGCAAACCCCTGAGACCCCCCAGCCCAGCCCCCATGAGCAAACCAGCCCCTGCACACAGGGCAGGAAATCTCCACAGATACACAAGAGAAATAAGAGTTTTCTGTTGGAGCAGATCTCTCCAATGCTGAGGACAGCCAGCCTTCAAACTGGGCTGCAAACACTGGCCATTTCCGTGGCTTCCCAAAAATACATACCAGCAGCTTCCTGTTAGAGAAGGACAAATTCCTGTTTCTAGTACAAATTCTGTCCTATTATTATGTCCCTTAAAAAACAGGGAAGGGGAAAAAATAAGAGGGCACTAAAAGGGAAAAATCCTTTTCCTACAGATGCTGTTTCAAGCAGCTTCTCTTCCCACTAAGCTCCCTGATCAGTGCTGGCAGTTTGGGACACAAAACCAGTGAGCATCTGAAAGTGGGCTCCCACTGGCACTGCACCACTCCCACAGCCCACAGAACTCTGTAAATCTACCCAAAATCTCCCTGGTAAGCAGTGAGGGAGCTCAGCAAGGTGTTGGCTCCCAGGAGTGCTGGGGCAATGTAGGTTTGTATTGTGCATGCACGAGACTCTGCTCCAGTCTGTTCAGGAATCTGCTGGAAGTTACTTCACCTGCAGGAAAGCCCAGTAGAGATGCTTTGATCCAGGGGAAATAAATAATAATATTATAATAATTGAATTATTATTATAATAATTAATATAATAATATAGCAATAATTGAATTATCATCATAATAATATTATAATAATTGATTGTTTATCAGTTTTGATTTGCCTGAGCTGAACTTTGCAGACAGAGTGGCTCAATTTCACTATGGCTTCATGAGTGCAGGGTATGAGTATCTACCTGAGAGATGTATGCAAGGTTATTAATCCACTTTGAAAATTAATCCCTGCTTTTCTTTTTTTCTTGCCATACTCCTGGCTGGGAAGGGATTAAGCAAGACTGAGCTCAAGGGAGACAACAGTTCAGCTGTGACATGTCAGTGCATCCATGACTCCTGCCTCTGTGGATCTAAGTTCCAGCAGGGGAGGAGAGGATGAAGAAGTGTGATTTTCTCCTGGGTTTAAGGGAAGATAAAGCAAAGTGCCCAGGAGATTTACTGTGAGGAATTTTGTAGGATGAAGGTTAGGAAAGCAGAAGATTGCAGTCCAGTAGTGAGAGCTGGAGTCACCTGCAGTCTGCTATTGATAAATGGGATTTACAGTATTGCCTATCCTAAAAAGGGTTGTTCTTACCCCACAGAGGCTCAGCATTCACCACAAAACACAGACTTCATGTCAGCATGTCTTGCCACTACTGCAGCACAAGCAAATAGCATCTCCCTCTGCAGTTTAGCATCCCCAGGCTTCCAGGGAAAGCAGCACCTATTTACTCCTGCCCGAGCACCACTTAGCTTTGGTTTGGATGTGCAGGGACACACCACTGTAAAAAAAAATATAATAACAAGCCACAGTCGCCCCTGAAACAGGGCTCGGCTGGAAAGCTACTCAAACTAGCATTGCTAAAATTGGGACTTTCCTTGTTTTTTCAAGCAGCAGGGAACATGTTGGGCTCAGAGAGTTTAACAAGCAAGAGTCAAGCGGAAAAAATCTCTCCTTTTTCAGAGTTGACCACATTAACTTTCAGCAAGTTTCCGGGAGTCCTGCCAGAGCACTGGAGTTTTGTATACTACGGAACTGTTAAAAATATTATTGTAAATGTTATTTTCAAAAGGGCTTCAGAGGCCAGCGCTGGGGTAGTGCAAAAAACAACAGCAAAGCAAATGAGATTGTTTTAATGGTGAGAACACAAATGGATGTGTGCTGATAGCTCAGGCAGCCTGCAGGCTTGGCAAAGAGGGATTCAAAGGCAAAGGGAGAGTGGTTGGAATATTACAGGTTTTCTCTGATCATCCCAACCTCATCCTTATAGTTTTCTCTAGACACTACAGGACATTCAACCTGCTGTACTTAGAACTGCCCTGGAACTTGGATACATATTCTGGGATACACAGAACAACAGCTAAATTTTAGTGCCACTTCAGACACAGCAGACCCTGCCCTCATGGCATTTTCCACCCAGGTGACCCAAAGAATATACCAAGGGAAGTAAAGTAAGCAAGTAAGCAAGGGAAGGAAAAAATAGCAATTTAAGACTGTGCATCTTTGTAGATGTAGCACCTAGGGACATGATTTAAACATGGACTTAGCAGTTCTGGGTTAATGTTGGACTCTGATGTTTAAAGTTCTTTTCCAGCCTAAATGAATCTCTGATTCCATGTTTATGAGCATGCAGCTGGGATGGACTTTCTGCAGACATGTGTGTAACCAGGTCAGGTTTGCAGATGTGTCTCCCCAGACAGCTCAAGGGACAAAGTTCATGAGCCAAGATGAGGAGAATAAAACCTCTCCTGACCAGGCTGCTAAGCTGGAGGTGACATGCACAGACCAGCAGAGCCTATGGAAAGAGCCAGCCCATGGCCTGGGAACTACAGCCCATGAAACCCAACAAGCAATTCTCTATCAGTACCCATCAGCTGAGGCTTCTTCTCCCCAGTTTTGGGCATGACACCCCAAAACTGCTTAAGAATCTTTCTCACCACATCTGCTGCTGGGAGAAGAGATCAGATCTGTGTTTCAAAGCCATTGTGCCCAGTGGAGGATTCCTTCAGTCACTGACCCAGCCAGGGCAGCTGCACTTGACAGCTGCTTCTGGAGAAAAATCTCCTGAGCCATCCTGCTCACTCTAGCACGACGTGTACTGAGAACAAGAGGTTTAGAACCTGCCCGAGTCCTGCTGGTAACATCCATGACAACCCTCTAAAGAAGCCATTGAGATCTTAAAACAAATCCTCTTCTCAGAAATCACTTTTTATAAACAAAACGTTCCAGAGAGCACACTACAGTAAGTTATCATAGAGAGGTTTGGGTAGGAAAGGATCTTAAAAATCTTCTGGTTCCAATCCCCTGCCATGGGGAGGGACACTTCCCACTACCCCAGGTTCCTCCAAGCCCTGTCCAGCCTGGCCTTGGACACTTCCAGGGATGGAGCAGACAGAGCTTCTCTGGGAAACCTGTGCCAGGGCCTCCCCACCCTCACAGGGAAGAATTTCTTTCTAACACCCAATTTAAATCTCTCCTCCTTCAGTTTATGACCATTCCCCCTTGTCCTATTACTCCATGTCCATATGAGAAGTCCCTCTTC